ATTTAAATTTTTTATTATTTTTTTGGTTGTTGCTTATATGTTGTTTCTTTGTAATTTGAGTTTTTTGTTTAATTTTCTTTACAAATTCTTTCAGGGATTTCAAATCAATTTATATTATATTGAACAATGGAAGTCCAAACTGATGAAATTAATACTATATGATGTCGTTAAGCGATTTTGGACTAGTTATTCTCTACGAATTCAAATTGAACCAAAGCGCTACCGAAATAGCTCGAAATATTAACCAGGCATTTGCCAATGATAGTGTTCGACGTTGGTTTGCGAAATTTCGTTCCAGAACTTTTAGCCACGAAGATGAGCCACGAGGCGGTCGACCAAGACGGGGATTTAAGGACCTTGATGGAGACTGAACCATCACAAACGGAGCGTGGGAGAGCTGAAGAAGTGGACGTCAGTTCTCAAGTGGTTTTTGATGGTTTAAAACGCGTTGGAAATTGTCAGGTTTCGAAGTTTGTTTTTCTTTACTTTTACGCAACCAATAATCGCGGATCGTCACGTGTGGATCCTTTAGGACTCTAGGACAATAGGAGACATACAGAACAATGGTTGAACACCAATGAGCCACCTAGGCACTCTCCAAGGGCCTCGAGGGGCCTCACAAACGGAGCGTGGGATGACGGAAAAACTGGGCGTCAGCTCCCATGTGGTTTTTGATGGTTTAAAACGTGTTAGAGAGGCCAAAGAGCTCGAAAAGTGGGTGCCTTACAATTTGAACGATTAGCAGAAATTGTCACGTCTCGATGTCTGTTCTTCTTTGCTTTTACTTAACCAATCATCAAGTATCGTCACCTGTGGATCCTCTAGGATAACAGAAGACGTACAGGACAGTGGTTGAACACCAATGAGCCACCCATGCAGTCTCCAACGGCCACGAGTTGGTCAACCAGGACGAGGATTTGAAGACCTTGGTGGAGACTGAAGCATCACAAACGGAGCGTGGGATGACGGAAGAACTAGGCGTCAGCTGCCATGTGGTTTTTGATTGTTTGAAACGTGTTGGAAAGGTCGAAGAGCTCGGGAAGTGGGTGCCTCACAATTTGAACGATTAGCAGAAATTGTCACGTTTCGATGTCTATTCTTCTTTGCTTTTACTTAACCAATCATCAAGGATCGTCACCTGTGGATTCTCTAGGATAACAGGAGAATTACAAGAAAGTGGTTGAACACCAATGAGCCACCTATGCAATCTCCAAGGGCCACGAGAGGGTCAACCAGGACGAGGATTTGAAGACCCTGGTGGAGACTGAAGCATACTCAACCAATCATCAAAGATCGTCACGTGTAAATCCTCTAGCTCTAGGACAACAGGAGACGTACAGGACAGTGGTTGAACACGACAAAGATCATGGTTATTGTATGATGGTAAGTGGCTGGTATGATTAACCGTAACTTTCTGCAACCGGACCAAAGCATCACAGCAGTGTTCAACACTGATCAACAGAAAAGGTCGGATCCTGCTTCACGACAACGCCACAGACCTCTCGCCAACCGTTTGCCATCTTTTCGAACACTTCGAGAACTTTCTCACCAGAAGAACCTCCGCCCTCAGGACCAGGCGAAAACAGCCTTCGTTGACTTCATCGAAATCCAAGCAAGCAATTTTTATTCTGGCGGAATTAATCGACATTCGTTATGTTAGCAAAAGTGTACTGATTCAAATGGCGCTAGTTTTGATTGAATTGAACGAGTGTGGACTCAAACTTTTGTGTATGGGTGAAACTTTTGAAACAGCCTGATATTATTCTGTTTTATTCTGTTACTGAAGTGATATTGATTTCTTTTTGTCTACTTTTTAACTATCATCTATTTTCACTTTCAATCAGCCTGCTCAGTGAACATGGCATGGGTGTGCTAATCAAATTTTTCATGGGGACAAAAATCAAGAACAAAACATTCTGTCAGAAAAAGGCATATGACAATTAGTAAAACACCTCATAAATGAAGTAACACTAGCAACAATTCACTAATTTATCGAATAAATACAGTGCATTTCTTTAAGGTCCCCCCTTTTTATTTTTTGAACGAGTCTTATTTTTTGAACGAGTCAACATAAAAATTTAAATTTAGAATGATAAAATTAATGCAAGAATACTTTATTTTGAAGTGAAATTGACTGATTCAACTTTCAAGATGGCGATTAGGCGCCATCCGAGAAAAAAATTTAATGGAAAGAGGGGTCTTGTGACACATCATTTTGAAGCTCCTGAATACTTCACAACCCTAGAATATGCTGTCAATATCTTCACCTACTACAAAATGGCGGAATATTTAATAATTTCCTGAAGACAAACACATTAATATCGATATTTCTAAAAATATTCCTTTTTATCTGCCACATGCCAATTCCAACAACATAATAAGGTTTATTAAGTTTTTTTTTTATAAAAACGACAAAAATGTCAGTACGACAATGAACATCATTGTTCTGTTAGAATATTCTCATTTAGTTTCCGGTTTTGCTAGTAGTAGTTTTACTAAAATGGTCAATTCTCGTCCATTGGACGAACAAATTGAAGCGATTTATATTTACGGTGCGACGCGTAACTTTCACGAGACCGAAAGAATTTTCAATTAACGTTTTCCGAATTATCCTATCTAAAGAAAATATTTGAGGGAACTTGTATCCAAATTCACAACTACATAACAAAAAGCCCCCAGGTCATCCGTCCATTCCGGAAGAACAGCAAGTGCAAATAATTTGTGAAATGGTGGTAAATCCTGAACAGTCTACTTATTCCGTCGCGAATGTTAGTGAGGTGTGCTGGAAACTACTGTTTACCCTCTCATCACTGAAATTGTCGAAGCGAATCCTAATGAATTCAATATGGATATTGT